TGCCGTATGGTCATTAGTATATTGAAGAACTTTTTATGTTAGAACCTTATCTGAAAATGAAATTTTGTATGTAAAAACAAAAAATATGTATATATATATGTGCAGAATCATGCATTTGTATGTGTATAAAAGAAACTTATTTAGAAAAAAAAAATAAACAGAAGTTTGAATGATTATGGTGTTTTTCTTTTTTTGAAAGGATTTCATGAAAGGTAAGTTTTTTTAATATTTTTTTAGAAATAATGGTTATGATTATGTATATTTAGTTTAATCAAAAATTATTTTATATATAACTTTATCAAAGAAAACATAACACAAATAATCAGAAATTAACTTTTATTATGAACATTTCATTACAATTTCAGCCATAGTTTCGAAGAGGATTTTCTTTTAGGTCTAGCATACATAGTTTTTACATTCATTAAATGTTTGTTTTTCACAAAGTCTTGAGGAAAGTTGTTAACATTCAGTACATTTTTAAACTGTTCAAAGGCAGTAAGGTTTTTGAGTTCTATTTCTCAACAGAAAGTTTATCAACGTTGAACAATGTCATGGACCCAGAAAACACATGATCCGTCCAGAATCAGTTCTTTATTGTGTGTCCAGGAAATCTGATGCTCTTTTAGAAATCTATTATTTTCTGTGCCGTTCTTTTCTGTTTCACAGGAACTGTTTGCATAATTTCCTTTTCTATATCTTTCTCAGAAAATTGTTCAGGCGGTTGTTTTTCAGGACGCATTCACATGAGGAAACGTAACATACTTTTGCAGAACCTGGATGTACAATTTGGATTTTTCTTCATCGTCCATTTTCTTTTTTAAGATGTTTTGAATTTGGGTATCTAAATGACTCAAATGTTTGCATACGATCCAGGGGTACCAGAGCGAATTTCTTACTGTGTTCCATGGATAAGAGAGGATAAGACACTGACTGCTGCAGGAATGAGGAAAGATAGAAAACCGTCACCTTTTTGAACCAAAAGACGTCTTTTCTTAAAAAGAGGTACTTTTTGTCCGCTAGTTTTCTTAAAGTTCTTTTAAAAGGGGCGAGTCGATTTTTGACGCGTTTGGTGATGGGTACGTTTCCTTTTAGAAGATTTAAAACACACTTCACAAACTGATTTGATGAGATGATTCGGACACTTTTTCAGTACAGCTGCTTTTATTCGACTTTTTCCTAATAGTTTTAGATAATCCACATCCTTCAGATGAGACATGCTGATGACAAATGAGCTCTTTTTCTTGCACACTTTCTTTTATATAGGTAGCAAATGCAGCCGCTTTGGTTAAAGCACAGCAATTAAATCCTTTTGCATGAATCGAACATGTTAAAGAACTTTTCTTTTTTAAATTCTCTATCTTAGGACAGTCTAGATTTATGATGTCTCTACATAATAAATTTTCTAAAAATAATTTCTTTTCTAATCCTTTCACGTATATGACAGAATAAATAGATGACAAATATTGCAAAATAATACGAAGATGAGTATAAGGTAAAACACCCTCACTCCAATTCACATGATGACGATTTCTTGTGACCCAAGCAAAACACTTTTGCTGAGATCGTGATAATGTTTTCCAAGGCTGAGGAGGTAAAAATGACCAGCAACTGTGATATCCTTCATGCACGGAGTAAAAAGCTAATTCTTTAACAATGTAACAATGAGGCATCCACTGAAAACCTTCGAAATCGATCACGATGGGAGAAGACATGTTAGCCATTCGACGTCTCAAACTGAAATGAACTATCGGGGCTGGTAGACATAGTATTTATCCCCAGGAAAGATGCCTGTACGAAGGCGAAGCGTTTCACTTGTTTCAGGTCGTAAATCAATCAACAAGTAGCTAAATGGAGTTGAAGTAGCATCCTGAAAAATTTCTTGAAAGGCCTTTACTTTTCCGGGGAACATTTGTCTAGCTAAATGCATAATTTGACTTTTATCTCTAGGATTTTTGTATAGGACAAGGTAATGGGAATTTAAATGAATATTTCTCATCTCCTTGCCTTGGTGAAAAAGATTTTGTGTTATAAAAACGACTGAAAGGTTTCGGTGATGACTTCCTTTTGTAAAAAGTTTGCTTAAGCGAGTATCACTTGCTAATTCAGACATTAAATCGTCTATGATAATTAAAGCATTTTGGAAGAGTCTGCAGGTTAGATGGTAATCCTTCTTCAAAATTTACGTTTTTCATGGAATTAAAAAGAGGTTGATAACTTCCGTAGCAATAAATAATATTGGTCGGCATGGGATGGAACATTTTATGATCTATCAATTTCTTCACAAAAACCGTTTTTCCCGAACCAGTAGGTCCGCTCAGAAGACAAGTACGAACTTGGGTAGTTCCATTTTTGGAAAAGACAGCATGTTAAGAAAACACTGACTTTTATACTTTACGAAAATCCTTTTGCATAAGACATTTATTCATTTTGTTTAAATAAGTGTAGAAACAAGAAACACAAGAGACATTTTTACAAATTAAAACAACTTTATTTTTTAAAAATCATGTTTACACCATATCTTTTTTTGACAAATTGAAATATTTGGAAATCATGATTCTTCCCATCTAAGGGTGATACAATGAGTTCCATACAGAGTCCTTGACAGCGTTTAATAATAAATAAATACAATAATGTCCACATACATTAGAAGTTAAACTCTGAAGCGAAATCTTGTTCCAGCAAACATGACGATATTTCTTGACAAAGGATGTGATATCTTTTCCATATACTTCAGGCGGGAGTCCATAAGAGTCAAAAAATTCCAGAGTCTGTTTGTCTGCAATGTAGACAGCTAGCCAATGAGTTCCTTTTTCATCATGTTTATCCGTATTGAGCACCAGTGCACAGGGAAAACTTTGAATCGCAGGTATTTTATCACAAGGAAAAACACCCGCATAATATCTCAAAGAAATAGGATCTCGAGATAAGATTTGATGAATCTGTGATGAATTCATCAGTTTCCAAAATCGTACAGAATATTTCGAGCTTTATTGATTTCTATCAAATTTTCAAATTCAGCGTACACTAATAACGAAACAGTTTGTTGTAAGGGAGTCCCAAATTTTATTTCTAATCTTAAGTTGCTGTGTCGAACTAGATTTAAATGAGAGCCATCACAAAGGTCAGGTGACAGGTCGAAGCGAAATAAGGAATATCCTTTTGAAAATTCTGATCTTGAAAGGTAAAGTCCTCTGTCGTCTGCATTCATAAATAAATTCTGATAAGCTCGTATGAAATGATTTTTGTCAAAATTAGGCTGAAGAGGATTATGAGGTACCGGTTGACCCGTCCACATAAACGCCGATAAAGTTCATATTATAATGCTTGAATTCAAAAGGAGACTTTTTATAGTTTCCGTTAAAGGCATCATTATCGACACATGCCACCACAATACGATTAGGCATTTGACCTATGAAAATATTGTCTTGAATAAAACTCATATTTCCCGTTGGAATGGAATAGGCTTTGCAGAGCACTCTATTAATGGGATATTTGGCTGTTGATTTTTCTAGGCTTTTGGCATGTCCTAGCACAACACCTGGACTGACTCTCACTTTTCGTTACAAACAATGAAGCTTGTTCGAGTAAAACTTTAAATTCACCTTCACAAACCATGAAACATATCCAAGTATCAGCAAACGTTTGGTTGAATCCTTCATTCGGCTGAGTGTCTTGAATATCAAAAACGTTCATACGTCCTGCTGTATCTTTGAAAAACAATTCTGATGACAGTTGAGACGTTTTCGTATCAAAACCATGATTCAGTAATTTTTCTATCATGGCTCTGTAACGATACGTGTTATTAGTGGTGTAGTTATTAGTCCTATGCTAAAAGATATGCTTTTCAAATTGACATTATTTTATATAACCCTGAACTCTTGCAGTTCTTTGAGAATATCTGATACTTAATCTTTCGTGAAAATCGCACATCTCACAAATAAAATCATATATAGCAGGTAATATTAACACGAATTCCATAGCATGATCAAACATAATTTTTAGATTAAGTGCAACTTAATCTAAGAAAGATCATGATTTCGAAGAAGCATTATTTTAATTAAACACTAATGTCATACAATTCTTAGAACATATATGGCATTTAATTTATCATGAGTGTCATGCCTAATAAGTAAATGAGATGCATTTCACGCACACACACTCACACAGGAAAAAAAAAAAAAAAAAAAAAAAAAAAAAAAAAAACCTTTTCTCTTTTACGAAGCTTTATTTTTACTTCTTAAAAAAGAACTAAGAAGAAATACGGTATAGGTGCTTGGAACCACTCAGTGCTGATGATCCTCATTCCTTATACTAGTATATTGATCAACATGCACATATACTTCCGAGTGACCGAAATAAATTCAAATACAAGTATTCAAGGAATACTTAATAAATTCCAGAAAAAGTCGGTAAGCAATAAATTAATTGATAATCACGGCAAATTATGTAAAGTACCAAGAAAAGATAGTAGTAACCGGGGGTACTCGGGTGACGGAAGTGACGTCACAGAAAATGGGCGTGGCCTCCGCTATCTTGTATCACGTGACAACCGGAAGTGACGTAGATGGATGGGATGACGTAGACGGAATGACATCATCAAAGTTTCGTTTTGATTCTGTGGCAAAGATTTTATGTTTCAGAGTTTTTGCTTTTTGTGGCATCGAATATATATTTTTAGGTTTCGTGGCAACAAACTCTTGAACAACGTGTTTGGAATGACATCATCCATTTCTTGTTGGGGCATGTTGTCTTGCAAAATGGCGTCTGCCGTATCACACCTTTGTATGCCTCCGCTGAGGTGTATGGATACTTTTCTGTGGACCAATCAGATTCTTTGAAACATGACCTCACCGTCTCTTAACCAATCACCGTTTAGATGAAATAAAGAGTTCCTACCTGATATAAGGTTATCCCGAGCAACGTTCCGCATTTCTTTCCTGCCTGTCGCCCTGAGTGTACGTACCTGCTTTTGCTTAGACAATCATTCTTCACTGCTTCGAATGGATCAAGCACGAAACCACAGAGAGGTAAGTAACTTTTTTAAATATACTGTTTTTAGATTTTTTAATCTTTAAAAATAGTTGAATTTGCAATATGGGCTTAAATTGTCTTTACTTTTTTTCAGATGGAAAAACTATTTAAGAAAGAACCTATGCCTTTGAACGATAAAGTGTTGAGCCATGAAGACCGCACCGAAGTTATTCCAAGAGAATCGGCTAGCTCTTGCAACAAAAGAAAAGCAGAAGAAACATCCCATTTCGAGAAAAAAGTACGTATTTGCGAAAAGCTTATATATTAAAGTTGATATTGTATGTGACCCCATTTTTATGTATTATATACTAACCGATTTATTTATTTTTTTTCCAGCGCAAAGGACTCTTCACTGAAGAGGCTATTCCAGAGGAGCTCACTCACATGGGAAACAATGTCTTTGTGGGACCCAGCATTTACAAGGGAAAAGTGACTGTGCACATCCGAGAGTATGCCAAATATGGTAAAGCTTACTATCCGACAAGACGAGGAGTGAACTTTGACCCGTGGTGTTTGAATGTTCTCGCAACCAACATGACAGTGGAGGAACAAGACCTGCTGACACTAAATCTGGAGTTGCCCAAGAACTTTGTGGTCACGTATAAGGATTCCAACTTCACTCTGAAACAACTTTCTGCTCAAGGAGATGAAAAAAGTAGCCTCAGCATTACAACTACGCAGTGGGAAGAACTGATGACCAACTTTAGCCGTATCAGCGACATTGTCACCAACCTCGTTTATCAAAACATGAACTTTTGTGAAGCCAACGAAAGCATATCCGACGAACCTGTTAAGGAGGAAAATCTGCCCCAGTCCTTCGACATTTCTATGGGAAGAGCACGTCTCCAAATTATTCTAAAGACGTCGCTTGAAGAGCTTCTTAATCAACAAGAAGAACTAAATTATCCCAAGCGCATAGACTGTGAAGAACTCGTTTATAAAACAGAAACTGTGAATGCCATTGCTCTGAGATTCAATGCTGTTGACATCGCCAGACAATTTTACGGAAATATTTGGGGTGAAGAATCCTATTTAATGTTACTGAAACCTGCTCACTACATTACCAAGGACTTTTTAAAAATCTGTGTGTTTAAACAATGTACTCGATGAAGTAAGAAACACATTTTGTACTACCACTGGTGTCTTAGGTATTAAATACTATGAATATTTGTAAAATAATTAGGATGTTCAATAAAATGTTATTTTATTTTACAATGATCTCATGACTGTCTCCAGGTTCAGACCCTATTTAAAAGAATTAATCTGTAATGAACACTTACATAATTTTTAAATATACCTATTGAATACAAACCTATTGATTTTTATAGAGTATAAATATGGTTGTTCTTAAACATATATATCATTTCTTGTTCAAACTTTGAGATGTAGCATTCATTTTCTATCTTGTACATGTGTTAGACCTATTTTCTGAAATCTTTATATTGAGAAGTTATTAGAAACTCTGGCATTATTTCCCTGTTTTAGTTAAACATATATAAATGAATATCAGTGTACGCTTAGATCATAACAACTGTTGCAATGAACGCAGCTCTGTCTCAGACTTATCGGGATCAACAGGTCCCCGCAAGTTTCGGAGGTGTTGCTGCTTTGCATCGTGTTTTAAAAGGTCGCGTAAAAACAAAAGATATCCAGAAATGGTTGCAAACCAAGGATTCTTATACTTTGCACAAGCCTTTGAGGCACAAGTTTCCCAGGAACAGAGTCATCGTAGGAGGCTTAAACGAGCAATTTCAATCTGATTTAGTGGGTATGCAATCCCTGGCGTCTTTTAATGATGGATATAAATATTTGCTGACCTGTATAGACATCCTTTCGAAATACGTTTGGGCTATCCCTCTCAAAGATAAAACATCTGTGTCCATCAATCCGCTTTCGAAAAGATATTTTCGGAACGTACACCCGAATCATTACAAACAGATGCAGGGAAAGAGTTTACCAATAAACAATTTCAAAATTTTTTGAAAAAGAGAAACGTTCAGTTTTTCACGACACATAATACAACCAAAGCTTCTGTCGTAGAACGATTTAATCGAACTCTAAAAACAAAAATGTGGAAATACTTTACCGAAATGAATACACGAAAGTACATTGATGTGATAGATAAATTGATATCCAGTTATAACCATACAAGGCATCGTAGTATTAAGACAGAACCTGTATCCGTTACATTACAAAATCAAGAAAAGATCTGGAAAACGTTGTACGGTCAGCAACCAGTACAAAACCCTATTTCTTTAGATTTAAAGATTGGAGATACGGTACGCATCAGCTGAGAAAAAATGCTCTTTGAGAAAGGATACGAACAAAACTGGACAAGAGAAATTTTTACAATCTATAAAATTTTTGTCTATAAACTGAAGTTGTCTATAAACTGAAAGATCTAGCAGGAGAAATTATACAAGGAACTTTTTACAAACAAGAAC